AAAAGAACATTGAATAACTGATCAAAGGTCTAAGATTCGACCTCCAATAACATCATAGTTATATGTTTGTGAGAAACCTCTTTCTCGTGTATAGTTTAAACTATTGGTTGTACTAAAAAAATAAACAATCAAAATAATAACGTGGATGGGCTGGGATACCAAAGACTGTGATGGGCCACCAATGAATTTGCCAACAAAGCTTGTTTTTTGTAGAAATGGCCCATTGTGGTGATCATGGTTTTGGAAATTGGGCTAACATTTTTGTTGGTATGAAAGTTGAAACAATTTGTATGATGTCCATTTTTCATTCTTTTTGTGATGTACGTGAAACATGTTTGTTTGGTAGGGACTTGGTCAGCACTACCAGAAAAAGGGTTTTTCTTCTGAAAATGGAAACTGGGACAAGTGATAATGCTTGGTGATCACTATTTCATGATTTCACATGAACCAAAAGTCAAACGCAATAGACAATTCAGCACATCACTTTTTTTCTCACTTAGAATCCCAACTTTTGACAGTAAAGTAAGAGCAACAACCAATTGTCTGCACTTCAATATAATTGGGTAATGTTTCTTTATCCTAGTTTATTGCACCCAAGTTTTGACATTCCCAGCTTTTCTCTCCCCCTTGCAAATTATCTTATCAGCCTAGCTAGCCTCATGGGGGAACAATTTGGTACCTTATTTGGACTATAGCTGTTATAGCCTGTTGAAAATAAAGAGAGTGTATGAACAAGGGTGTTCTCTTGGTCACTATATAGGAGTAGGACCATGAATTTTAGTGGACAACTATTTACCTTAGCCATCGGTGGACCAAAATTCAATGGTTGCCATTTAAGTTTAAAATATTAACCATTGAATTTTGATCAACCCATAATTAACTACGGTAATTTGTTCGGCAAAAAAGAATTACAATCTCAAATTTTTGTTTTCCTTCCGTGAACTCTGTGTGTGTGTGTATGTGTGAGATAAACAGATTTTATCTATCCCAAGCTGTTTTTGTGGTAGCTAGGAATTCGCATGCAGTATGCTGCCTATGAATTCTCCAGAGAACATAAATAATTGAGTATAGCTAGGTTTTCACTTTTGTCCCGGAGTAGAACAAGGCCCACTTCCCTGTCTCCGCCATGAATTTGCAAGTGCAAATGAGAGAGAGAGAGAGAGAGAGAGAGAGAGAGAGAATGAATGATGATGTTATCTGCATGGGGGTATGGCGTGAAATATGCACTCATCATGTGCTTCCATCAGTCTCCCTTTGTCTCTCTCACTCACTCTGCCTTCTCACAATATCACTCCCAAAGCGTGCAATCTCTATCCACCTCTTCACTCTCTGCCACCCTCATCCTTTGGCAAATCAAAACTCTTCCATTAACAACCTAATTAATTCATCTTCCTTAATTTTATATCTCATCCATATATATATATATATTCTGCCACCCTCATCCTTTGGCAAATCAAAACTCTTCCATTAACAACCTAATTAATTAATTAATTAATCTTCCTTAATTTTATATCTCATCCATATGTATATATAGAGGAGAGGGAAAGTAAAAGGGACTGTGCATATATTTGTGTTCCAAAGACTATTAGAGAAAGAAAGAGAGGAATTGTATTCTTTGGGTTTCTTTCTTTTTGCTTTCTCTTGCACCAATGTTTGAGGAGAACGAAAGAGAACCTATTGTTTTCGTCAAAGATGAAGACACCCAACAACAACAAAGAAAGTAAAAGAAAGTAGGAAGAAAGAAAAAAAATTATATTATATATATACAAGGTACCCATATCAATGATTAAAAGTAGGGGATCGAGATGGAGCAAGCTTGAAGCAACCCCCAAAAAAAATGGAACGTTCTTCAAAGCAAATTAAGCATTTCAATTTAAGTGATAACACACACAAAATTAAGCTTCTTTGTCTCCCAACTTACATTAATGGTAAAATACGATAACCTTGGATTCTTAGAAGTTGAAATAGAGTATGAATGGTACAATATGATGGCATTACCATATAAGTTACAAGCACTGAAAGCCAATGAGCACCCAAATGCAGCTAGAAACCAAATTCAAAGAAATTATTATGTCAAAACAACGAAAATGATTAATCAAATTTCAAAGGACACATTTGGTCCCAAAAGGAAATATATTCAAAGGACATTCCGTGCATAATAATTGAATGGCATGATCTATAATTATGTGTTACGGTCTAATTATGATGAATGGCCGCACATTATTTCTTTCTCTTCTTCTTCTTTTTTTCTTTTCACTTAAGCACATTGCTAATGACATATGCCAAACCATCTTTATTTGGTATTTTTATTTATTTATTTGCCAAGACTATGATGTCTTGATCACTATGTCAAGACCTAATAACTTCAAGTCGCCTATCAAGTATTAACTAGTTATTAATTTGGTTGTATTTCTTTTCTTCACATTAAAAAGAGATTCCAAGTTTGAAAATCCCTAAAAAAATGAAAAATACTTACCTCCTTAAAGAGCTCATACATTCTTGCCGATAGCAGTGTGATATGTGTGCCTAAGTTTTTCTTTTTATGTTTTTGATAAATTATTTTTGTATATGTAAAAAACTGTAATTCACACGAAGGAGGAGTATGCCCTAACAATTAAGTATGCAATCAGTATCCCCAGAACATTAGTCTACAAAGTCTCCATAACTAATAATTCTATTCTAACCATATAATGGAGGTGAATTAATTGGGATTTTTACTCTTTTTTTTAATGACATTTCTCTCTTTCTATACAAGAGCCATGTGGGTTTCCGGATCAAAAGTGATAGGTCAAAGTATTAATTGGATTGGTGAATAATTTCAAAAAAGTAGGTACATTTGAGAATGTGGGGGGGGGGGGCCTTTTCACTCCACAAGACCAGTCGTATGAATGTTTGGCTTTTTGAGTGTGAGACTTATTGTAGCTCTGTTCTCATTAGCATTTTGGTGGATCCATTGGTGAGGGGAGCGGGGGGAGGGAGAATAGACTGTGGCCATCTATACAATCCATGCAGTAAAAAGGGACCTCGATTTCGGCTACCGCTATAGGGGGGGAGGACATAAGATGCATATAAATAAAACCACACTTTTATTTAGAAAGTTCTTAATGATCGATGGTCCTCCTTTGTGTCTCTGTCTCTGTCGACAGTCATAATCAAATACTATTAGCGAACACCACCAATTTAATTAGTCTCACTCACCCCAGCCAAGGCCTAATTATACTAATTATTTATTTATTTGGTATAACAAATAAAAAGCGTGCACGATTATTGACAGGCATGTGTAATGTGAATATATGTGTGCATTTCTCTCACACACATAAAATTATGATGCTATGGGATTTCGAACCTTAGACCTCTGGTCTGCAAATCAATTTCTTTTTCACTGGGCTAGACTCCGTTGACCATTTTTTTTGGCTGCAAATACATATACATCCTTTATGTACTTGTTTATCAAATTAATTTGAAAACGATTAGCAAAGTATCTCAAAATTGTTATTTTAATCAAGGACTATAATTTGTGGAATCATTGATGGCTATAATTTGAATGCATGTATAATTAGTATTGGTGCATGTGTATGGTTGGTAATGCGCCTCTTCATTGGGTCGTGCCTATTAAGCACGTTCAGTTATGATACCTTATTTGAGTATTATTGGACAAAACTTAACTGCTAAGCCGTAAGGAAAGTAGCACTTAGCACTTACAAGAGGCACCCATGATATGTTGTTAGTTGAACTAGTTACGACATATGGGTCATTGACTTCAATTGAATCAAACCCCACCATGATTGAAATTTAATTATATACAGTCTCAGCGGTGATCATGCACGTTATGATGCAGTGGGAGAGTATGACCATGTAAGTAGTAAAATATTTGTCCTTTTATTAGTCTTTTTCTACTTGTAAGAAAGAATGGAGACTCATTCAATTTGGGACATATGCTCGAGCTGTCACTCTGCCATAGCCATGAAAAGACTGAATTATATTGTTTGTGACTTTGTGTTTGGGGATCCATCCATCCATCCCCATCTTAATAAAGACTTTCGCAACTGGAGTGGTTACATAGTTTGGTGCAAAGCGGCAACGTTTCAAACCTCCTTGTTGTTTCCTTGGTTGACTAATTTATCCTTGGTTTTTCATTTCCACGACCTATGAGGATATAAAACTCTTATAAATATTATTCTTCCTACTTCCTAGTTGCCTCTCTGTCTATCAATATGGGTAAATTTAAACACAATCCTCTACAACTGTGCTAATGAAATACATGGAAGAAGAGGGTGGGGAGAGTAGATGAAGAGGTTGAAACAACATTATTTTATTTCTAGACCTATGTTAGGGGTTTTTTTCAATGCTTAGATTTCCTCGATTGAATAGTCATAGAAGGCCGGATCATACACATATCAAGAAAGAAAATCATGAGTGATTTTTAATCTTACGATTTTCTCCCTTGATCTATATGTGCTCATATCATACCTAATTGTGATGTTATTATATAAACAATATACCTTATTGTGCATTCCAAAAAAAAAATACTAAATTAGATTCCAATGTTTGTATTTCATTTTTTATATATGTACATAAGAAATTAACAGTATTACCATTAACAGATTGTTAAACATAAGAAATGTTAAAAGACCTACATCTAAAACCAAAAATGTGAGGACTAAACTCAATGATAGTTAATCGTTCTAGACCTAGATCTAAGAACCCCTATTTTAAAATACATAAACGTGGTTGAAAGGGTGGATTGGCTCAAATAGCAAAACGTCAAAGGCCAATAAATTAGAAAAGAAAAAAAAACCCCAAGTTTTCACTCCAATCCAACCATTCCTGTGGTGTGAGGTCCACTCTAACTCCTTTGTGCTGCAACCCATCTGATCAAAACCCTCTCATCCCAATTTTTCTTTCCCGATAGCATTACGATATGTCAATGCAAATTGCAAAAACACTATAAGAAGATAGAGTGAGAGTCATAGAGAGAGCTGTAAAGGAGTGAAGTCCAAACCTTACCCACACCCAATCACTGCAGCATACATACCCTTTTCTTTGCAGAAAACAAAAAACACCACCAAATTCTCTGCTTTTTTTTTACTTACCACTTGCTTTGCTTTGCTTTCAACAATGTCTTTCTTGCTCTGTCCTCAGACTCGCTGAAAACTTAACCAGACTCATCCATGGAGCTCGACCTTGAAAACCCACTTACAATCTCCCATGACATCCACTCTGATACACTCACTTCAATGTTTTCCCTTGAATCTGATCACATGCCATCAGAGACTTACTTTCAAACCCTTCAAGCTAGAGACCTTGACATCTCCATTCGAAGGGAAGCCATAGCTTCCATCTCACGGGTACTAATTCTCATGAGAAACGAGGGAAAAAAAAACCCCTTAAATTTGCTCATGTTTGCCAATTTAAGAAACCAGAAACTGTTTTTGCTCACTTTATTTTCCTTTCACTTTGTGTTTCTTCTGACTTCTGAACTTGTTTTAATCTATGTTGTCATTGCAGCTTTGTTGTAACTATGATAACCTTTTGCAGTACCTTGCTGTCAATTATCTCGACCGGTTCTTGTCCTGCCAAGGAATGCTGGTAAAGAAACTCACACCATGGTGTTTGCTTCTTAAAAGATTAACAATTTGGAAGCATTTTTCTTGCTTTTGAAAACAAAAATTGTATTAATTAACAATTTGGGTCCTAAAAGAATGGATGGTTCTTTCCAAATAGCAACAAAAATGGCACATTAGAAATTGTTTCTCGGTTCAAGTCTTTTTTATGAGATTTAAAATGATGCTTGGTATAACAGCAACCAAAGCCATGGCTCATCAAGCTTCTTGCAATCTCCTGCGTTTCTTTAGCTGCCAAGATGAAGAAAGCAGATTTCTCTCTTGCTGATGTTCAGGTAAAACTAAACACTTTTATTAATTTTGTGTACTTTTTCATTCATGGTCTTAGATTTGATGAGTGTTTTGGTATGTATAGGGTGATGGAGGCATCATTTTCGACACGCAAACGATCCAAAGGATGGAAGTGCTGATTTTGGGAGCTCTAAAATGGAGAATGCGATCCATCACACCCTTCTCTTTCATTTCATTTTTCAATTCTCTGTTCAAACTAGAAGACCCGCCATTGCTGCAGGCTCTCAAAGCCAGAGCCGCCCAAATCATCTTCAAATCTCAAAAGGGTACTTCCATAAGATAAAAACTTCGCATGGAAATTTAACTCAGTTTCTGTTCAGGAATTAAATTTTCCACCTTGAACAGTGTTACCAAAACCTTCTGTTGTTTGCAGATGTTGAGCTTTTGGGGTTTAAGCCATCAATAATTGCTGCCTCCGCACTTCTCTCTGCTTCTCATGAATTATTCCCTATGCAATACCCCTGCTTTAAAAAAGCACTCTCCAACTGTTCATATGTAAATAAGGTAAAAGACCATTCTTTAATAAACAGAGTCTTGATCATTGTTGTATGAAAGTATGCATCTTTACATGTCAACTAATAATTATGTTTTCTTTTTCTTTTTCTTTTTCTTTAGGAAAACATGTTGCAATGCTACAGTGCAATGCAGGACATTGTGGCTGATGGATTTGATTCAGTGTTAGAGACGGTGTCTAGCGCAGTGACAGCAGCCAATGTGCTAGACCATAATTTTTCAAGCTCTGCAGAAAGTGGAAAGACTACCGTCACCGGCATGACCCCCTTAAGATTGGAGAGGGACATGAAGAGGAGAAAAATTAGTGAATATTGTAAAGATCACAGGGTCCAAATTTCTCAGATCCAAAACTGCTGAGACCAATCTTAGCTATTTCCACAGCTTATCACTTCAATGGTCTCTCTGAGAGTGACACTAGCTTGTAGTTGCCCCAATAAAAAAAGAGAAAATGGTCAAGAAACAAATAGAGAAAGAAAAGAAGGAAGAAAAAAAAACTGATGGGAGAGAGAGAGAAAGAAGCAGAAGAAGTTTTTCTCTCATGGATCATGGATGGACCAAACCAAACCAAACACTGTCAGTTACATTTTCTTTGGTAGGAGAAGAAATTAAAAGGAATTGTTCTCTCTTGTGTTTTCTTAAGCTATCTTCTTTTTGTTTTCTTTAGGAACCAAACAAAGACAAGAAGACATAATAAATAAACTTTGAATTGAATTTTTTGTTCTTTCAATTCTGTATAGGGGTGGTTGCGGTTCGGTAACCGCGAATTTTTACTCAAACCGCAAACCGACCGACTATTTGCGGTTTGGTGATTTTTAAATAAATAAATACACAACCTCAATTTCTCAAACATATATAAATTCACAATCTCATCAACTTCTCAAGCATTCACAACCTAAGAAAATTAAAGTTACAATTTCAAGCATTCCAATTAAAGTTAAACTTCTCAAGCATTCCAATTCCAAATCCTTTAAAGTTATAAACCAAAAGGAAAATGCAAAGCAAAATGAATTAAAGTTACAACAAAAAAGAAAAATTCAATTCAAAGTTAATTAAAGTTACAAACTAAAAGGAAAATGCAATGCACCAATGTTACAAACTAAAGTTATAAACTCAAGTGTTGGTGGTGAGTGGATTTGAAGAACCCCGTTGTGTTGTTTGAGCACTAATGTTATTTACAAATAAAACAACATAGTGTAGTACATTTTATTATAAGAAGAAGCATAAATAACATTAGTATAAATAAACTAATTACTTACAAGTTGTCATATGTTCTATTTCCTTGTAAAATTCAACTTCATCATCCGTGTGGCTATACTTTGCGGTTTGCGGTAACCGCAAGTTTTGAAAATCAAATACCGCAACCGCAACCGCAAATGCGGTTCGGTTCTTAATACCGCAAATGCGGTTCGGTTTACCGCGATTGCGGTTTCATTGCGGTAAATTATCGGTTGGTTTTTGCGGTTTTTCGGTTTTTCGGTTTAAAATGCCACCCCTAATTCTGTATGTGTTGGTTTTTAGCTTTGTTAGTTTCTGGAGGATAAATAATAACCAGACAAACTCAATTCTGTACCTTGCTTGCAGTCAGCGCGGGAAAAAGAGTTTTTGGATAAAATTACTCTTTTACCCCGTCACAGTGTGACTTTGGAAGAAGAAATTGATGGGTTCTTTCTTTGCTTAAACAGTTACCAATAAATTTGGACAGCTGCAAAAATTCTCTGTTTCTTTCTGAGTGTATGTTTTTCTTTCTGCTCTGAGATTATGAAGTAATTGAAGCATCGTTAGTTTCAGTTAAAATAAATCAAATCATGTGAGCCGTCTGATGGTCCCCATGGCCACCGCTGATGAGATTTCTTAATCAAAGATATCTATCTGGCCCAACTTTGGAGATTTCTGTTTCTGTACCTGGAAGATGATGGCAACTGCACAGAGGAAATTGGGACCACATAATACAAATAATAATACAAATTTATGAATTACCCCTAATTAATTATAGACTAAGATACCAGATTTATGACACAAACGAAGCGTAATCATTGTTTAAGCAAGGAGCATAGTTGCATTACACCAAAGGAATATAAAAACAAAAGAAAAAAAGACAAAAAAAAGACCCAGAGGAAGCAGTCTCTTTCTTGGTTTTGTTAATATGAAAAGAAAATTGCTACTCTTATTAAAATAATAATAATAAATTAATAAGAGTAGCAATCTTCTTTACTTGAAAATACAATGTAAATCTAGGTTTTTTTTTTTTTACCACAAGTGTTAGTTTGAACTACAGGTAAGGAGGATTCCTCACACACACAGCTATGATGTCGTGGGGATTTGAATTTGAAACTTCTAGTTTGCAAATCAAGACATTTTTCCACTAGGCTAAACCCATTGGAAAATCTAGTTTGTTTTGAGTGATCTAATCATATTTTTTATGGACTTTCCTCTACTAAACTTAATTATGAACCTTTTTAAGTTCGAATGAATGATTAAATATGAAGGCAGTGGGGTGAGTTCTGACATTAAGTAGTTGGCCATCTGACCTGTTCTCCACAGATCAAAGGACCATTTTTGAACAATTCAAACTCATTGGTGAATTGATATTTTATATTCTATCAATATAATAAAAAGATTTATATAGAATAATAGAAGTACTTCTTTAAAATTCTGTTTTGAGTTTTGACTTGGAAGAGAAGTGGGTAGGGGTGGTAATTGCAGTGTCTTAGGACAGAGATAGTACTGGGCCTGTTCTGATCTTATATCATCCTCTGGTCCATGGACCATGGCTGCAGAACACTTCTCTTTTCCTACTTTGGGAATTTGCATTTTGACTGTGAGCCACTCATTGTCAAATTCTTAGAGGTGGAGATAATGGCATAATTAACACAGAGGAAAAATTGCTGCTTAATTTCCACAAGGATTAATCCCTGTTTCCTGGTGACTAATTTGTCATGAGTTATTAATTTGGCAATTATGGCAGATGCATGATGGCAAATGTTGTTTAGTTATTGGCAGATTGCTTATGCTTTACCAACTATGTTGTAGTTTATAAGAAAGAAATTAAGGGCCATGAGATGTTTGTTTTGTTTTACAAGCATGCCCAAGTTTTTTTAAATTCTTATATGGAAAATACTTCTCTCCGTCCCATGTAAATAGAAACTCCTACATTTTTGCCTATAAGTTTTTCTTTTTGTGTTTTTGATAAATTATTTTAGTATATGTGTC